AGCTTCTCACCTTGTTCTGATGGGATGTAGCTCTCGTCATAATCCTCCTCCAGCACCAGCTGATCGCCGATGCGCAGCCCCGTGGTGGCCATGGTAACGGCGGCGGCGGCGCGGCGGGAGCGCGCACAGTGGGGCGGTTACGAGCCTAAATGAACAGAATTACTTCAAATTAAAACTTAAGAAGCACTTCAGGACCCGCGATGACGCTGACGGCTCTTATATACTGCTGACAGACACATAATCACCTCATTACGCGTACAGAGATGTGCTAATGCCGGCCGTTACCTCAGATTAACAACTCATTTAGGACAAACATATATATATATATATAAACGCGTTATAATCAGCATTTACCACACTAATGAGTTCATTAAACACTAATAGAGCAGAATCTGCGCGTCAGTGTAATCCTGCGAGCGTCGCGTCACTCTGAGTTTAATCCTCACCTGAGTTACGCCTTCACCACGACACTCATCTCTGTGTTTCTGCAGCACTACTCTGGTTAATTAATGAGATAATGAAGGATTTTATTTAATTAATGCAGAAAGTTCAACAGCAGAAGCGCCGCGTCTCCATCACGGCAACCACACCGGAAACACAGCAGCGCGTCAGACGGAGCCGCGCCACAATAAAAGTCCCGCTTCACAATAAAAGTCAACACACACACAACGCTATATATTTATTTATTCATTCATTTTTTTCGGCTTAGTCCCTTTATTAATCTGGTATCGCCACAGTGGAATGAACCGCCAACTGATCCAGCACATGTTTTACGCAGTGGATACCCTTTCAACTGCAACCCATCACTGGGAAACACCCATACACACTCATTCACACACACACACACACACTCATACACTATGGACAGTGTAGTTGATCAGTTCCCCTATAGCGCATGTGTTTGGACTGTGGGGGAAACCGGAGCACCCGGAGGAAACCCACGCCAACACGGGGAGAACATGCAAACTCCACACAGAAACACCAACTGACCCAGCCGAGACTCAAACCAGAGACTTTCTTGCAGTGAGGCCACCATCTTAATCAATTCATCTTATTTATTTTTAACTCTATCACAGCTAGACCTTAAAATATTCAGTTTATTTATAATGTTTAGCCCAAGTTGTTTTTCATCATATGAACAATTAAAGTAATTAAAAGTTAAGAACTGAAAACTAAAACTCTGGAAATTAAATACTTTGTTAATTATCAAAGTCTGAGTGCTTTTTTATTAGACCTTCTGCTGGGGTCAGTTTGACGCTTCAGCCACAATATTCCTAACCACGCCCCTGTGTTAATTACATATGCAAAATGAAGCCCCACCCCCTACTCAATATTCAGTTTCAGTGGGAAATCAACATACTGAAATAAAGTCTATGTTTCATGCCGAATTAGTATCATCGCTTAATATGTGTCATATTTTAATAAGTAGATCTCGAAAGTGATTCATTTTGACCCAGACTATGCTGAACGATGATGAACAATTTACGCATACTCAGAACAAAATGCTGTGTTATGTCAACCCAAATTGGGTAAAATATGGACTAACCCAAACATTGGGTTTAATTTGGTCCTATTCGTTTAATTTAAAGAAACTAACCCAGCAGTTGTGTTAGTCCCTACTATCAGTTTGGAATAACCCAGCACTTTTGAGTGTATTTAGAAATTTTATTTTCACTATTTAAAGCATTAAAGTGGACACTTTTATTTTATTTAAAACAGTATATACACGTCACACATTTAACTGATGTAGACATCAATATTGTACTTCAGGGCCCAGATTTTCAAAAGTAATCCACTAGGATTTTGGATAAGGGATTGGATCAAATCTTGAAAATGGGTTTTTCAAAAAAAAATGGATTACCTAATCAGATTCGATTAGATCACGTAATCCAATCATGGTTTTGATCCGGATCAAATCTTTAGTTTAGGTTTTTCAGACCTTTTTTGTAGGATCTGGATCACTTTGATCCAAAAAACCTGGATTAAACTGATCCCATCAGAAGGGTGGATTCAGCGTGGATTTCATGCCTAAAATGTAATGAAAACTTTAAAAATGTATTAAATAATACTATTTTTGGATCATGCAGTATCTTACGAGATATACTATTTATTCATAAGGTTTTAAATTTATTTGTTCATCCATCAGGCTGTAGTGATTATTGGCTTTAACGTATTCAGCCTTTCAGTATAGGCCTACAGAAAAGTAGAAAGAGTTTGGCCTCATAAAATAATCCCCCAAACAGCTGCCAAAACTGACCAAAAACAATCCATTTTATTCTGTCACTAATTGATATATATATTCAGCACAATGGAAAATATTTTACTTTTTAGAATATTTATTAGTGATGCATGCAATGATTACAAAATAACCAAAAATAGAAAGAAAAATGCAAAGAATGGCGATGACTTTAGATTTCTCTTTCAACAATTGCAAAAAGAGACTGAAAGGGCAGAAGCACAGCTTCATCTGGCAGAGAAACAACTGACTCTGACCAAACTGCAGCAAACCAAGGCCAGACTTGAGATCTGCTTCCAAAAGGCTACGCTCAGACAAGCTGCTCTCTCCACATCAGATGAGGAAGTCTGAGATTATTGTGGAGTTTTTGACATTAAGTCTTTTTTTATTTACATCTAAGTTTGAAACTTATTATAAATATCCTCAATGTACAGTGTTGTAGGTCTCAGATGAGCGGACTGCTGGAAGAGGATGGGGTGGGCTTTTTCTTGTTTTTATTATTATTATTTTATTATTCATTAAATTTTCTTAGTTTTCATTTCAAATAAAAATAAAGTTATATTGACCCCACATTGGCTATTATATTTGTTGCTCTTTACACAGGCCTGTCTATCTACATTGTGATTGAGCACTGGTAATCCAGATTTAGTGATCCTGAAAAGTTCCTATCCGGATCAGATTGATCCAATCCGATGTTGCTTTGAAAAACTGGCTCAAAAAGTAAGCTGGATTACCTGATCACAGATCGCAAAAACAGGATTACTAAATCCGGATCAATTTGAATTTCAATTTAAAACCTTTTGAAAAACCGGGCCCTGGTCTTTCACACATACACTATCTGACTTAAGTCTTGTGGCCTGAGTTTTAAGAACTAGAAGCATTCTTGCAGGATCCCAGAGTTCATCAAGAGTCTCTGTGTTCATCTTAACCAGCTTATCCTTCATCAGCTCAATAATGTTGATGTCTAGTGACTGGACTGGACAATCCTGGAGCAGCTTGTCCTTCAGGAGCTTTGATGTGGAGGCTGAAGTATGAGCAGGAGCGCTATCCTGCTGGAGAATTGTCCCTCTCCTGTGGTTTGTAATGTAATGGGCAGCACAGATGTCTTGATTCCTCAGGCTGTTGATGTTGAAGATCTCTCGCACGCCCCCATACTGAATGACCCCCAAACCATGTTTTTTTTCCTTCACCAAACTTGACTGATTTCTGTGTGAATCTTGGCTCCATGCTGGTTCCAGCAGGTCTTCTGCAGTATTGGTGATGATTGGGATGCAGATTAACAGATGATCCAGCAGAGAAATCCACCTTCTGCATCTTTTACACATCATCAACTAGAGACCAGTTACTATCTGTACTTACAACTGGAGGATCCAGCACAAGACTTCTGTCAGGTAGTGTATATAATTTATAATTATTTATTAATAAATAAATGTATTATTATCAGTTCCATATATGCATAAAAATAAGACTGAGGACTCATCAAAGACACAGATTAGTTTATTAATATGTGCTTTATTACATCATACACACCAATAAAACTACTCACTCTTGGCTATTATATATATAGAGATATATATATATATCAGAAATACATGTGAAACTGTTGAGCACATTAGGCTAGCCTTAAATAACAAATAAATAAACATCAGTGTAAAAAAAAAAGAGGCAAGCTGCTTTATAAACATTCACCATGGTCCTCTGGAAAGCCCTCGACAATCAACTAAATAAAGTGTTTTTCACATCAATCCAGGCTTGACCAGCAAGGCGACACACACGTATAAAAGACTCCCGGAACAGCAGGTATAAACGTGATCGTCGTGGACATCTGCAGTGGGTGCTGTGGATCATGAAGTTGGCCCCTTTATTTCAGAAGTCTGTCCTGATCGACACGTGTGCTTCAGTCTGCTCGTGGAAATGATTTCTCCACTAAAGCATGCCTCGGCCGATTTACATTCACATACACCGGCTGCACGATCAGAGACGAGCCACAATGCATACAGCGACAGAGCGGTGAAGGGGTCATGAGCTGCTCCACTGATTACAGTCACCTCTTGAGGCTCAGGCTGGTTTTTACATGCATTTTTAATTTTTTCTTTGCTATTTGGGCTTATTGGGACCTAATTAGAATAAAACTCGAGCATCATGTTTTGATATGATGTACTTTTAGAGAAAAATGATGTCCATATATGTGGGCTCGTGGTGCCACTGTACAGAAAACCCTTTTTCCTGACTGTTTTGTAATGCATATATAACATATACAATTAACATGTTTTGACTATCAGAGAGTAAAAACAACATTGTTTTCCCATTTTGGACAGTTAAAAATAGGGTTTGGGACATTTCATATGCTGCATGATGACACTGTATGTCTAAAACCAAATATTAAACTTTCAAAGTATTTTAAATAAACTCTTAAGAGCTAAAGCGTGCTGTCCACATATGTCACAGGTGTCAAACTCAGTTCCTGGAGGGCCGCAGCTCTGCACAGTTTAGTTCCAACCCTAATTAAACACACCTGATCAAACTAATTGAGTCCTTCAGGCTTGTTTGAAACCTACAGGTAAGTGTGTTGGAGCAGGGGTGGAACTAAACTGTGCAGGGCTTCAGCCCTCCAGGAATTGAGTTTGACACCCCTGACATATGTAAACACTCAAGCCCTAGGGG